GAGAGAGAGAGAGAGAGAGAGAGAGAGAGAGAGAGAGAGAGAGAGAGAGAGAGAGAGAGAGAGAGAGAGAGAGAGAGAGAGAGGGAGAAAGAGAGAGAAGAGAGAGGAGAGAGAGAGAAGAGAGAGAGAGAGAGAGAGGAGAGAGAGAGAGAGAGAGAGAGAGAGAGAGAGAGAGAGAGAGAGAGAGAGAGAGAGAGAGAGAGAGAGAGAGAGAGAGAGAGAGAAGAGAGAGAGAGAGAGGGGGGGGGGAGACACGGACAGACAGACAGAAGGGGCCGGGAGAGGAAAATAGGCGGAGATAAGAGGGGCAAGGAACAGAGCAGTCCCAACCGCTCAACATTTACACGACTTTTGCAAACTTTCCGGCAGTCTCTCCCTAATAATAAAGATTAATGTGTAATCATTGACGCACACGAAATATATCCTAGTTTTGCCAGTTTTCTCAAGGGCTATAGGGTCCCCCCTCCCCACTCTCTCTCTCCTCATTTCTCCTCTCCTTTTCTATCTCTTCCTCTTCATCGACTTTCTTACGGTTTCACACTTTCCTTCTCTTTCCTCCCCTTTTCCCTTGCTACATTTCCATCGACTTCCTCTTTCTATCCTTCCCCCTCAATCGTGTAACGTAAAGTCCCCACGCACCGAACCGGCTGAATATAAGGCATTAGTATAAGGCTCTCGGCTGCCGTCTCGCCCTCTTGGCTCAGCGTCAGCCGCACATCCCACGTCCATGTCAATGACCGCCACAACATGAGCTATAACACCAATAACAGCAACATCAATGCTAACAATATCATTAATAATAATAATTATGGTAATAATAATAATAATAATAATAGTTGTAGTACTAGTAACTTCTATTTACTTTCCCCAATTCTTCCTGTCTGTTTGTCTGTCTGTCTCTCAATCTAAACCCCCAAAGTACAAAGCACACAACTGCAACCACCCATCCACGTATCCCTACCCAAGCGCATGCAATCGCTCACAAACACACTAAAACTTATCAATTAGTCCCTCTTTCCACTTTTCGGGAAATGGCCTACGCGTCTTGCTTCTACATAGAAACCTAAAATCTAATTCAAAATGTGACTTATCTTTCGGGCGAGACCAATCAAGTAGCGGGTGTAATGGTCAAGGCAAATTACTAAATAAATAACCGTGGACATTAATAATTTCATTCTCCTTTGATGGGAAAAAAGAAAAAACAGCAGAACTCAACAGCAAGAGCAACAAGATCAAAAACGACAACAAAATCAACAACAATAACAACAGCTCTAATAACAAAACACACTAATACTGATGAAAAACGAGTTCTGAGTTCTAATAAATGCTCAGCTTCCTGAAGGACGCTCGAAGGAAAACGAGTTTCAGACACAAGTTTCCCAGGCGCGCCCTGTCTGTCTCTCCTCTATTCTGTCTCCTCGGTCTCCTTCCTCTTTTTCTTCTCTCTTTTTTTCTCCCCTCTCTTATTCTCCCTCCTCTCTTCTCTTTCCTCACTCCTCTCCTGTCCTCTCCCGTCCCCTTCCCCTTTCCCCTCTCCTCCCCCATCCTCCCTCCTCTTTCTGCCCATCCCCTCCTCTTCCCTCGTTCTTCTCTCGTCGTTTCTCGCTTCTCTCTTTTTTCCCCTTCTCCCCTCCTCTCCTTTCTCCCTCCTTTCTCTTCCTGCTAAAAGCGATTGGTGTATCCATGAGCATGTGCGTTCGCATGCATGTCCATATGACCATACGTATGTATGTACAGTATATATTTATATGGGTATGTATGTATGAATGTATGAATGAATGAATGAATGTATGCATGCATGTATTTATGTACGTACGTACATATGTATGTATGTATGCATGTATTTATGTACATGCGTATGTAGGTATGGACGTATGCAAATGTAGGACATGTATGTATGTATCTATGTGTGTCTGTTTATAATCTCTCTCTCTCTCTCTCTCTCTCTCTCTCTCTCTCTCTCTCCTCTCTCTCTCTCTCTCTCTCTCTCTCTCTCTCTCTCTCTCTGTGTGTGTGTGTGGGGGGGGGTATTCATCTATCTACGTATTCATGTAAACAGATATATTACATAAGCAACATTAAACTTCTAACCTGTTCCTATCGTCTATCAAAAAATCCAGCGCTCATTTTTCTAGCGATCATAATAATCTCATCCAGTTATTGTTGCATGCAAGATTTGCATTTTTCTTTTATTTCAAACACTCCATTTTCAAAAAATCCCATCTTAATCTCACAACGCAGATTAACCCTAAAGATAGCAACAAAATTCCCCGCGGAAAAAGTGTGCGAGGGTGCAATTAACTCTTTCAAAACTCCCGGGAAGAAATTCGGCTTCAGTTACACCCGTAAAATCTCCCAGCCAAAGAAAACGCAAAAGAACAACTCGGGTAAACTAAGATATCTTATTCCAACTTCTGGGAATTAGACTCCTTTTCCTTTTCGGGTAATTCACGAAGAGGAGGATTCTGTTCTCTTTTTTTTCTTCTTCTCCATTTATTCTTTGCGCCTCTCTTCTCCCTCTATTCATTTCACTCTTCTGTCCGTTCTCTTGTCACTCTCGTCTCTCCCTCTTTCTCGTATTATCTCTATCTGTGTTTTTCATCCTTCTATTTTCCTAGTCCTTATCAGTTTATTTCCCCTTCCCTTCACCCATTTCTCCCAGTATATCTAAACGCATACGTACGTATGCACAGACGCATGTACGCGCATGCATGCACGCACGCACGCACGCTTTCATTCACTAACTCTCTCTCACTCACTCTCTCACTGACTGACTTACTTACTCACTCACTCTCTCACTACACTACACTCACTCCACTCACTCACTCACTCTCTCTCTCTCCGTACCTTCGTGTACACACACACACACACACACACACACACACACACACACACACACACACACACACACACACACACACACACACACACACACACACACACACACACACACGCACACACACGCACACACACAAAAAAAAGAAACATACACAAACAAACACACACACGCAGGCACGCGCACACAAGAAGCAGGAGGAGCGGGAAAGGGGAGGGGGATTTTGGTGCACAGAAAACAGAGAGGGGAAAAAGGCTACGAAGCGGGAGGGCTGGAGGGGGAAGTGAGAGGTTAGGAAACGGGAGAGGGGGAGGGCTTGGCAAGCAGTGACGGAAGAAAGGGAAGGAGGGGATGTGGAAGGGGAGAGAGGGAGGGAAGGGAGAGGAAGAAGGGGAGAGACGGAGGGCAGAGGAAAGGGAGAAGGGTTTAGAGACGGTTCCGGGAGCGGGACGGGAAAAGATCGTAGGGTAAGGGGAGAGGGAGAGGACTGAAGAAGGGAAGGAGAAGGGGGACGGCAGGTGGAGGAGAGAGGGGGACGGCAGAGGAAGAAGAAAACGGGAGGGCTGGGGAAGGGGAGACGGGGAAGGAAGAGGAAGGGAAAAGGGGCTGCGGAAGGAGAGATAGAAAAGCTAGGGAAAGAGAAAGGGGATATGGGGGGAAAGGAAGAAAGAAACAAAGGAAACGTTAGAAGGAGGGAGAGGGCAGGGAAGAAAATTACAGGTGCAGTGGGAAAGAAATTAAATGACAAGGACCAGAAGATAAGGAGAGTGAAAAATAAAGCGGAAAGGTCAGAATGAAGGCAGGAGGAGAACGAAAGCAAAACAGTGAGGTGGAGAAAGTGGAAAGGATAAGGAGAACAGAAATGAATTGCAGAGAAGAAAGACAAAGTGTGAAAAAAGGAGACGAGAAGAGGGGCAGGGGGAGGGCACGTGGGAGAAAGGAGGGAGGGGTTAAAGAGGAGAACCCGAGGGGAGAAAAGATACACGGTAGCGACGCGTGATGTATTGGGAATCGGTAACGAGTGTGAGAGAGACACTGCCCCCCCCGCCCCCCGCTGACTTCAAAACTCCGGGCTTGTCTCCTGACCTTCATACTTTCTTCTCTCTCTCGTCCGTTGCAAGAACATGACACGTGGCTTTTTCGGCCAAATGTAAGACGAAGAAAATGAAAGAAAGGGAGGGAGGGAGGGGAGGAGGGTGAGAATGGGAAAGGGAGACAGGGGGAGAGGAGAGGAAGGGAGGGAGGGAGAGGAAGGGAGGGAGGGAGGGAGGGAGGGAGGAGGGAGGAGGGA